CCAGCCACTCCTCAGAAGGAAGGTTGGGCAATCTACTTCGGTAGTGATATCACCTAGGAATCCCAAGAAGAGGTCGCCGTGAGTCGGATCCGACTCAACAGCAGTGGGTGGGTTACCTTCTTCAACATATCTTACATTTCATCCCCTAAGATATTTGCTCTTCCCCAAATACATCATGTTCTTTCATTCTTCCAAATTTTTGTACAAAATATTCCCTCTTTCTAGAGTGCTCTGCCAATTCTCTACCTGGTAAGATCCTGATCATCATTCAAAACTCTGTTTATATGTTCTCTCCTCAACGCATCCACATGATTGGGCTGAAATTATTTCTCCTCCTCTAGATTGAGAGCTCCATAAGAACAGGGACCATATGATTTAACTGTACATCCCCAGTATACAGCAAAAAGTAACCACAGTGCTCAGCAAAAAGTAAACAGTCAATAGATGTAGAATAAGTAAGTAAGTCAATGAGTGAATGAGAGAAGGAGGAGAATAAAATACTGGTTTTCAAGTTGGCTAATGTAGTCTAAAGAAGTTACTCCCTTTCCATTCAAGATCATATGATAAATTTATTGCATTGTTTTTCATGCCTCTTTATATCCATGTATTTTGTGTAGTGTCCTTTCACAGTGACTCTACCATATAACTTGCTTTTGCCACAGGACTTACTTGGCCAATCAATAGCAAATATGACACAACAGAGGCTTGAAAAGTATTTGCATGTTTCTGCAATAGTTAGGTCTTCTCTCTCATGTTCCTCACTATTGCACTGACAACATGTCAGGACTAGCCTGCTGGAGGAATGTGAGAAACACAGGGAGCAAGAACCCAGTCATTCCAGCTAATCAGCTGCCTAGACAACAAATAGCTAACTGCAGATGCATAAGTGAGCCCAGCCAAGATCAGCAAAACTGCTCTGTAGATCTGTAGACCTGTGAGCAATACTAAAAGGTTGCTGTTTAAAGCCTCTCAAGTTGGGGTATATTTTTACAAAGCACTATTGTGGCAATAGCTAACTGATACAGATCTTTATAAATAAGAAACCTACATTTTAAGTCACCTGAAACTTCCTTCTGTACCCAGAGTATATGTTCAACTCTCTCCTAGACCCTTCTTCTTGGATGTCCCTCAATTCTTTGAACTCAACATGTCTGAAATTGAACTTACTATCTTCTTTGTCCCTCCTATCAAACCTATCAAGATTGATTCATTCACTCAAGCCAAGAAAATGCTTCCTTCTTTGGGATACACCTTTAGCAAGCCCTCTCCTCCATTAAAGCCTTTATCAAACTGTACAGGTAGTACCTGACTTATGACAGGGACTGTGTTGGTTCTGACATAGTTGAATACTTCTATAAATATCTTTATAAATCCTATCTTTATATGTCTTTGGGGCTTGGCATGAGCATGATAACATCAGTAAATTACATGGTGCAACACTGTATGTAGCACATATTACTAAAAGTAAGATGCACCAAAAAAAAAACAAAAAACAAAAAACCCCACAACAGATGGTCATAAGTATGATTGGTCATAACTTGAATATGTCATAAGTTGGGGACTACCTGTATTGTAATTGTATGATTACATGTTCATCTGCCTAACTAGACTGCTAATTCCTTGAGGGAAGACACCGTGACTTATTCACCTTTCTATAACTGAGGTGGTACAGTGCCTAAGGCATTTGACTGCTAACTAGGAGGCTGGTGGTTCAAACCCACCAGCCACTCCTCAGAAGGAAGATTGAGCAATCTACTTCTGTAGAGATACCACTTTGGAAACCCAGAGAGGGGTTGCTATGTGTTGAATCGACTAGATGGCAGTGAGTTTGGTTTTTCAATAACCAGGGCTCCATTCAGCTGAACTGCAGACAGATGCATGATGTACTTTTGCTCTACCTCTCTCAGAAACAACACTTTCTTGCTGATTTCTGACTTCCCTTAGGTTAGATCATACCCAGCCCATAGTCTATATGAAATGGGCCTAAGAGAAAATATCTCTGTCTTGGCATCAACCTAACCTGATTCACTAGGGCCCTTCTTTTTTTTTTATTAGGATTTGGGTGAAGATTTACAGAGTAAATTCACTTTTCATACAGCAGTTCACATATACTTTGTCTCATGTCATTGACCAAAATTTACAATGCAGCAGCTCCCCTCCCACTTCCTCCCCATAGTTACCTCCTCCCAGTGTCCATCCCTTCATACTCTTCGAGAGGCCCATTGTCTGCCAACCCTGTATATGATCTTGGATACACTCTCCATTTAGACATACATAATTGTTTAGCTTGTTCACCCATCTATCCGTCCCTATACCCATGTTTGCTTTCATTAACAACTCAGTATTGTATTTACAAAGGGGTTCATATTTGTTGTTTGTACTGCCCATGTAACTCTCTCTGTCTTTCTCATCCTCAATGCTGCCATATTGGTCACTCACATTTGGTACATTGTCACTAGGGCCCTTCTTGCTGACTATGATCTCCTGGACCCAGTACCATGGATCCAGGACTCTAGTTCCTATGCTTCCCAGCCCAAGTTTATTTTCCAAGACTAGGATCCTTGCCTACTTTAACCTTCAGTTTCTAATGCACCTTCTCAGACATGGTAAGTCCTATTTTAATACAGAAAACCTAACAGTCTGATAATATCTCTTAGAAGACTAAGGGAGACTTTCAGGTAGCTAGGCCTTCCTTCCTGGGTGGTGATGGAGTAAGTCTTCTGAGTAAGTGCTCTTGCTGATGTGTATGAAGAGGGATATAAGCTGTTAACAGGGAGTTTAATGAGGCTACTTCTCATCTTTTAGCTCAGAATTCTCTTTCATAAAGCTTCCTGACCTTCAGTAGAAATACTCCTTGCTAGTACGTGCCCCTCACTGAAGCCTGGACAGACTTACATGATACCTATAATATTTACTATATTTATTGACCATTTAATGTATTTGTTGACACTCCTGTCTCCATTTAGGTGAACTCCTTGAAAGTATGGACCCTGCCATTCACACTGGCATACAGCAGATGCTCAATAAATATTAGTGAATGAACAAAAGGCCATAGCTCAGTATAGAAGGTGGGCCGTCACATAAAGGGTAGTCATTCATGTGTCATTCATTTCAAACCTACCAGTGAATTGTAAGCAAAATGTATCCTAGGAACAACAACCAGGAAAAAAAAAAAAAAAAGGCAGCAAAGGAAGGGGAAACTATCTTCTCTAATATTCTTCTGTTTCACACTTTCAAAAGGTATAGACCCAGCTGTAGTGAGATATCAGCTTGGGCACTTGCCAAGCCAAATGCACAAACAGGGAAATGTTGTACTGCCTTTGACCCTGCCTGCCAGCTGCTTCTCTGGACTGGTTCCTGGCTCCATAGTATTCTGCTACTGGCATCTTCAACTGATGCCAATAGCTCCCAAAGGGCAAAGGATAGGCACTGACAGTCTGTTGGTCAAGGTTAATTTTCTAAGAGATCTCACTAAGTTTGTTCCCCTGAGTTCACTTTTGTTGTTTGTTTGTTGTTATGTGCCGTTGAGTTGGACCCGACTCATAGCAACCCCTCCTTGAGTTTCTGAGACAATATCACTATGGAAGCAGATTGCCCAAACTTCCTTCCAAGGAGTGGCTGGTGGGTTTGAACCGTCAACTTTCCAGTTAGCAGTCAAGTGCCTTAGGTACTATACTAACAGTTCATTTAGAATAAGAAAAAGAGTAACAGGGTTGGCTGATCTACTTTGTAGATCTCCAGGATTGAACAACTTAATTTTCTCAGCTAGCCACAAGCTGAAGAGACCACCCTACCTTAAGCTTAATTATGTCTCTCCTGCTTCAGTCCAAGTCCACTTAGTCCTCTTGGTCATTCAATGACACAAAGAGGTTTACCAATCAGTTATACACTCTGTGTCTACACTGACAGTAGGGAACAGCTAAATGGCATTCAGCTCCTTATAGGTTACTCGCTATCTGTGGTAGTTAAGGTTGTTGTCAACTTGGCTGGGCCTTGTTCAGTGGCTAGGCACCTGGATGTAGTTATTCCCCATGGTGAGACTGGTAATCAGTTCCATGGTGTAATCTACTGGAGCAGCTGAGTAGCTGCTTAGGGATGTGGGCTGCTTCCAGTATATAAGAAGCAACTTTGAGGAAGGTCTCTAGCTTTTTGGCACACTTGAACTGTGAGTGTAGCCAAGTCTTCATTCAGTAGCCTGCTATACTCTGCCAATCTTGGGACTTCCAATGGAGTTGAATTAATGGCCTGCTGTGTGGTTTGGTAACATCAGGATTGTGCCTTTTTACTTCTCAACCTTGGATTTGTCAATCTCAGCAGCCAGCAGCTGCCTGAGTAAAGAAAGCTTCCAGCTTCAGTGGGCCTGGAGCCAGAGGTAGAGCTGAAGACCAAGGTCGAGGGGCTTTCACCCAGCCCTTAGAGCCCAGCACTTTGAACTTGGACTTCTAGCCTCCAAAACTGTAATAGAATAAACTGTTTGTTAAAGCCATCCCATTTGTGGTATATTCCTGTCAGAGTGGCACTAGGTAACCAAAACAATATCCTTGAACATATCTTTCACATCTTAGCCTTTATATTCTTACTCAGGTTGTTTCCTCCAACTAGACTGCCCTCTCCTGCCACCTTCATGGAATAAAGCCTTATCCCTCATTAAAAGCAGAAGTTACATGATACTTTTGTAGGATACCTTCTCTGTCCCTCCTCTGGGCCCCAGAAGCACTGTGTACCTCTCTAGAACAGTCATTTTATCCCTTTAGGGCAGAATATGATTCATCCAGGTCTCTCTACAGGGTCCAGCACAGCACTGGCACAAAGCAGATATCTCCCGAATGTTTTTAATAAAGGAGTGTTGATGTCTGTGTGGATTAAATACAAGCTTCCACATCTCAACACCAGTGGAAATAGTGGAAGCCTACTTTGCAGGTGGGCCTAGGAGACCCAGGACCTCAGCCCATCCTTGGGGTCCATGGCACAGCAGTAGCCCTTCTCTCCACAGGACTCACAGAGAGGAGGCCCAAAAAGCACTGTGTCCAGGGCCTTCAGCTGAAGCTTCTGCCGATGGCTCCGGTCTGTCATCTTCAGAACAGTCCCTGTCATGGTGGTATTGGTTACAGCTAGCCTGTTGAGGCAAAGAGTAGGGGGTTAGTTCTCTACCAGCCAAAGCAGGAAAGATCCCAGCAGGATTTCCACCTCCTCCAGGAATGCTCCCATGACTTCTAGCTCTTGGTGAGTGCTCCCCTATGCATTCTAGAACAAAGAGTCTGCCCCAGAGGATTTTAATGGGGAGTATGCAGGGACAAATTACCATAAATTTTCTCAGCATCTTTCCCCATGTCCACTATTTCCTGAGTAGCCTACCCTCTGAGGATTATCCACTGGTCACTATTCCTGCACCCAAATATAAATTTGCTGTTATGCCTCTCTTTCCAGGAACTATCTACTATCATTCCCTCTCCATACTCCCATCCCTAGTAAATTTATTCTTCTGTCCAACCCAGATCAAAACCTTATTATACCACTTTACCCAGTGATTCTAGAGAGCTATGAATTATCCTAATCCTAACCCACTGTACATTATATATAATCCTGCTGATGACAAAAATTTCATTAGTCTTATTGGCTTGCATTTGACTCAATGAAACACAATCTACTCCCAACAGATTACTGTAATTTTTTATGACCTTCAACTATACTGTCAATGATAACTCTAATAATAGAGAGACTGTAAACAAGAAAATGACCTGGGAAAAAACAGAATTTGTTTCTCTCCTGCTGAAACACAGTGAGTATAGGAGGAGAGGGTATAAGATACGAAAGGTTGAGAACCACTCATCTGGGTCCCATAAATGAGGACTTAATACTGTACTACCCTGTAAGGTTGGTGCCATATCTGATGGATAGCTCTGCTTCTCAGCTAGAGAAGATGCTTCTGGCATCCCAGTGTGTGATTTATACTCCTGCCTGCATATGCAGGAGAAATTACTTCCTTCTCTGGCTTTGGAAAGCAATCAAGCCCACCTATAAGAGTAAGACACTGAGATGGGAGTAAGGTGGATGTCAGGAGATCTAGCTTCTGGTCCAAGTTCTCCAAATGGCTCACTATCTAATGGCAAGCATCTCTGTCCCCTCCCCTGTGGTCTCAGTTTCCTTCTGTGCTCCACAGGGCTTTCAACAGCTGGTTTTTCAGAAGTAGATCACCAGGGCTATGGGTAGACTCAAACCTCCAACCTTTCAGTTAGCAGCCGAGGAAGTCAGCCATGTGTGCCACCCAGGGATGACTCCTTCTGTGTAAACTGAGGTGAAATCAGATGTCCTAAAAGGCTGAGAGCTCAGGGGCTCTTCTTCAGAGAATATCTGCCAAATGTACTGGACTTCATCTAGCTGATCAAAATAAACTTTGTCATCTTATCTACAGTCTACTTCTTCTCAAACAGACCTGTGAGCCAGAGGGCTATCTACATGTAAGCAATGAAGAAATGATAAAAGAGCTAATATTTACCAAGAAACTACAGCAATGGCACTGTTCTGACAATTTACATACAATACCTCACTTAATCGTCACAACAACCTTAACAGAACTCAGTTCTATTATTAGCTATGTTTTATAGATAAGAAAGCTGAGACTCAGAATTGTATAACTTGCCCAAAGTCACAGAGCAAGTAAATGTAATACCAGAAAACAAACTCAAATCTCCTAGACTCTTCCCATTATACCATGCTGCCTACTAAGTGATGGGCCTAGAACAATGCCCACTCTATGTAATGAAGGCTCTATGCCTCCTACTGTCACCAAGGTGCCATAGCTTGGTATCCTCTATACCTGTGCCCAGCCTGGTTGGGCCTGGGTTTGTCTTAGGTCTAATTGCAGCCACAAGAGAGCTAAGTGAAACCAAGATTTGAAAATTGACTTATCTTATACTGTGGAGTTTTAATCCAAGCCAGAGCCATTCTCCAAGATAGAATGGTCCAAAAATCCACAAGGCAACACCACTATTTCCATGAGTAGCTTAGCCTTTTGTAGTGAGAAAATAAATATAAATCCTAAAGCTTCATGTTCAATTGTCTATTCACTCATCTATCTAGACCATTAAGAAACATGGAGTTCTTCAAGGCAGGGATCAGGTCCAATGCATCTCTTTGTCCTCTGGGCCCAGCAGAGAGTATGGCAGATAATAGGTACTCAGCGAAGTTTTGTTAAATAGAACTAAACTTATATTGTGAGGAAGCCTATCCTCTCACACGGGGCAAGAAGAAGACACAGTGAAAAAAGCAAGACACTTAGAGCCAGGCAGACCTCGGTTCATATCCCAGCTCTGCCACTTACCAGCTTGGATAGATAATAAAGTATTTGTTGAACAAATTAACAAAGTTTGTTCACTCAAAAATTGAGTTAGTAATTCCTTCCTCCCAGAATTGCTATGAGAATCAACTGAAATAATAGGTAGGAAAGCACTCTAGAAAGGCATGTACAAACATTATTACTCTCTCCAGAGTAGGGAGAATCTGTGAAGAAGAGGCTGCAGGCAGCAGAGGAGGGAACAGCCAGCTCAGCTAGGCCTCGGCTAGCTCCATCTCTGTGATGGAGACTGCAATGTGTGGGCATTCCAACAGCTTCACTTTCCCCTTTCCCCTTTCCTGAAGCTCATAACCAGATGTACCTACATAATAAGATGACAGATCATACATAATCAGCACTTACCAGACAGTAAGCCCTTTGAGGGCAAGGACAGGTAGCCATCACCTTTATCCCCAGCACCCAGCACAAGTGCTGGGCACAGAGTAAGTACCCAGTAAATATTTGTTGGATGAACACACAAATGGATTAATGACTGGATGACAGATGTCACAACAAGTCCAAGCAGTACTCTATTCCCTCCCCACTCCCATTCCAAACCCTAGCATATTGTGACTGCAAAAGAGGCAAAGAGTTGTGGTTAAAAGCTGTTGCAGAAGTCATCCCAGAGAGGAAGCTAGGGTCAACATAATTAGCCACCACCCCTGCACCATTTTTGTTCTAGTAGATGGACTACATAAGGATAATCCAAGGGAGGCTAAAAGGGTCCCAAGGCTCCCAAGGGTCCCAAGTAATAAAAGCAGAAGCTGCTGGGAACAGAACAAGAAAGCAGAAATACCACAGGCTTTGAAGTCTACCCAGATCTAGGTTTGCCCCTAACTAGCCATTTGACCTAAGAAAAGTTACGAGTTTCATCATCTACAGAATGAGGATAGTAATAATACCTACCTTGCAGAACTGATGCAAAAATTAAATGAGATACTGTATATAAAATATTGAGTAGAGTGCCTGGCATGTACTAGGCACTCAATAAATGACATCTCTTCAGGTACTATAGTGCCTAAGGCACTTGACTGCTAACCAGAAGGCTGGCGGTTCAAATCCACCAGCCACTCCTCGAAAGGAAGGTTGAGCAATCTACTTCCGTAGTGATACTGCCTCGGAAACCCAAGGAGGGGTCACTATGAGTCAGGTCTGACTCGACAGCACATAATAACAACAGTATTGCTCCTAAGACTGATAAAAATAAATATTAAATAAGAGAATGGATGCAAAGTGTCCCTCATGTGCTATAATAAGCACACAGAAGATGTGAGAAGAGGAGAGGTCTGTAGATTCTGCCCTGAAAAGTGTGGGACCTCACTTAACTGGACAGAGCATCCGAAAGCAGGCCTACCCCAGTCCATTCTCTGCATGCACAAGTGAAAGAAACCCAGTACCCTCCTGACCTTGGCATGGCATGGCCCCCAAGCTGCAGCTTCCGGAAGGTCTCCTCATACTGAGGCAGCTCCACATACGTAATCAACCACTGCACCACCTCTTCCACGGTCCAGTTATACACTGTGGGGAGAGACAAGCAAAGTCATGACTCCAGAATGCCAAGCACTGCTTGTACTTTTCATAACAGTCATATTGACTTTGACATTTACCACGTTTATGTGTCTGGCAGCTCTTCCTCTCATGAAACCCTAAGCGTGAAAAGAGTGCATACCGTATGCATCTATTTATATGAAACTCAAGAAAGGATAAATCTATCAAAAAGATCACTTTTTGAAAGAAAAGCAGTTTTTGACAAGAGCCAGGAGTGGGGGCTGTAAATGGTTCAGGAAGGAACACAAAAAACCTTTTGGAATAATGGAAATGTTCTATATCTTGAATGTGGGGGCGGTTACACAGGTGATATATTTGTCAAAATTCATCAAACTGTACATTTTTAATAGATGCACTTTATCATATGTAAATTATACCTCAAAATTTGATTTCAAAATATATTTTTAAAAAAACTCTAAGAGTAACTAGGGTTGAGACTCTTCCTTCTTTCCTTCCATCCATCCATCTATCCATATATCCTTCTACCCATCCATCATTTGACGAACATTCACAAAAAGCCCACTCAGTCCCAAGCCCTCAGGAAGTTAGTTCCCAGTTCAGTGGAAGAGGTCAGAAACTAACAGCATCAGTGGAACATGGACTCTGGCTGATAAACAAATGTTCATAGAGCACAAAACAGAAAAGGAGTAACTGGCTGGAGGTTCAGGGACAGCTTCGGAGAAGATGATGAATTACAACATAAAGGATTAGTAGAACCTTATCTGACATAAAAAAGGAGCTCTAGTGGCACAGAGGTGAAAGCTGCTAACCAAAAGCTTGGCAGTTACTATGAGTCAGAATTGACTCGATGGAAGTGGGTTTAGTTTGGTTTTGGTTTTTATATTTTACAAATTGCTTCCATACACATTTTCTTACTTAATATAGTTTATAAATGAGTAAAATAGCTATGAAGCTATTAAGCTACTTGGTTATAGCTGTAAGGCTAAAAAGTATTGCATATAACACAAAATTTCAATCTTCAGAATGGAGGTCTTCCCTCTTCCCCTTGAATATTGATCTTCTGGAACATATTCTATAGAAAAAGAAAGATAGCAAAGTGTATCAAAGTATACTGAGGGAATGGAAAAGACAGAGTGCTCAGACATTCTGACTCTTGCCCCTGTGATTTAAAAAAAAAAAAAAACCCAGCTGTGGTGGTGCCAACTCCACCTCATAGTGACCCCATGTGTGTCAGAATGGAACTGCTCCTTTCAGAAGCAGATTGCCAGTTCTTTCTTCCAAGGCACCTCTGGGCAGATTCCAACTTCCAACCTTTTAGTTAACAGCTGAGTACATTAACCGTTTATACCATCCAACAAAATGTGAAATTTGATGCGTCTAGAACATAGAATAAGTGGAAAATAGTGACAGAAGAAAGTTGAAGCCATGTCATAAAGGGCTTTGACTGCCATGCTATTTGTATTTTTCCAGGCTGGTGGGCCTGACTCAGGTTGCTCTGGTCACTTAAGTCAGGTCCCACCCGTTCACATGTGGCTATTTAAATTTAAATTAAATTAATTAAAAAATTCAGTTCTCTAATCACACTAGCCACACTTCAAATGCCCAATAATTACATATGACTAGCAGTTACTATATTGAACAGCACAAATTAATAAAACATTTCCATCATCACAGAAAGTTCTATTGGATAGCACTGGTCGAGACAGTTTACTACACAAATGTTTCAGTTTTGTACACTTATTTTGAAGATAATCTAGAGATAAAAAATAAAACTATAGTCTGGATCATCTAAGTATATAAGTGTCCATGTTACATTTGTGCTTATAATTGTGTTAATGTAGCCATTATAATAGTGGAAGATCATTTTCCTAGAGTTTTATGCCGTAATGTGCTTCAAATTGACAATATATCTTAAATTTATTGTTTTAATATAAAAGACCACATTGATGCTTTCACAGAAAAAATATTTGCATAATTAATTCAAATTTTTAAGACAAATGTTACCCACCAAAAGATATAAACCACCAAGAACTGTTCCAATTGGTACATCACCAATTAGAGTGCCATAACATCACATGATCACCTATTATGCCACAGTGGATGTGGGTCATTTTTAACATCATCTGCTCACCCTTTCGGTGACAACAGTATCCTGGATTTGTATTAGAGGAACCACTCTATCCTTGCTCTCAGCCAATATGGGGTAAAGCTAAATTTGTTCCTAGGAATAAAGCATGGAACCCAAGCTAAGCCAATCAGTACATTCCATTTTCCTGCCCATGGTGCTTGGTTCAAAATCCAAGTCAAGGCCAAAGAAACTGAATTCTAGGATTTTTGTTTTGTTTTGTTTTACCTATAGAGTATAGGATGAGCTTACACTTCCATTATACTGGTATCTGGGATGAAATTATCCTGAATTATAACATAATAACAATAATAATAGAAGTCATCACTTACATAACATTCACTATATGACAGATACTCTTCTAAGCACCTCAAATATATTAACTCATTAAATCCTCACAACCACTCTGTGAAGCAGGTAGCCCATTTTATCCTCATCTTGCAGATAAAGAAACTGAGGCACAGAAAGCTTATACAACTTTCTAACTCACCAAGGTAGGAACTGGTAAAACCATGATTTGGACCCATCTGCTTCCATATCCCATTCCCTAAGCCATTATGTTATATTTTGCCCCCCTGATGCTGCTGGAAGCCTTCATGCAGAGGCAAAGTCAAGACAAGGAATGGATCCAGATAACATCATGTGAGCCCTGTGTCAGGCCACGCAACAGGCAGCCCTACTCATAGATATTTCAGTTTTGTGCAACAAATATATTTCCCTTTTTGCTTATGTACAACTGAGGGGATTTTCTGTAACAAGAGGAGTTAATCCTAACTGAGATAGTCCCTAAGCAATCATTCACAGCATGGCAAACCACACATCACTATACCTGGAACACCAGCTAAATTTTTCCTCAATATGATGATGCTGTAGAGTTTTTTTTTTAATGGATAATCACAAAAAGAATCCCTTTAAAGCAATTTTGATATCTGTGTGGTGTATACACACATAGATAATAAGTTTATCTCCATACGCTTTATCAAGAATCAATTATAAAGGAAGAGAAGTAGACCTGATACACAATAAATGTGTTCGAGCAAAGTGAAGGTCAAATGACATAATATATTATACAATTCAAATTTTACAGTAGCTTGTATAGAGAAAAAGGGTGGGCAGACTGAGTAATCAGATGGCACCCAGTAGCACAGGCATCCTGAATTTGAAAGAGTCCGGGAACAATTTAGCTTCAGCAAAAATATATCAATTTATTGGATTTAAAAGTTTGTTTTTATTTAATATACAAAGCTGTTTTTGTTTACATTTATATAAAATTGTATATAGTGACTTAAATCTCATGTTATATTTAAATTTTTTTACATTTAAATAACATTAAATATCAAATAACATTAAAGTAAAAATAATTTAAGTCAGCATTGCAAATCCAAGATAAATTATTTCCCTTAAAAGGAATTTGTACATTCCTCAAGTTTGAGAACTAGCAGGAAGCCAAAAAACTTTTGAAGCAGAATGATATGGTGATACTTGTCCCCCTCCTCTCTTAATATCCATTATCTTTGCCAAAAACTGTGTTTTTTCAGAATGTTTGATTTCTCATTAACCATCAATAAACATTTATGTCATGGACCATATCCTCTTCGTTTTTCCTAACTTCACTGTTCCTAATACAGGTTTAAACACAGTGACATTAGTAAGAATTTACTCAAAGAAAAACTACCTTGATTAAGGAGTTCCAGAATTGTTCTGATTGTAGACTTACAAACAACAACAAAAAACTTCCTTAGGAAAATATACAGCTCATTTGGATGATATGCTTATAAGAAACCAGAGAGAAATTAATCTACAAATGAAACATTCAAATCTTGGGTTTTGGAAAAGAAGGGATAATGAAGTTGAGGTTACAGAAGTGTCAGAAAAGTAGAATGCATTAACCATTATTACTGAAAATGAATATATATCCTCACACCTTACAAATGTGATCATTTACCATAATCTGAAGCATCAGATAATGAAGGCATAGGAGAGTCACACACAGATATGAGGCAGACAGACAAGTGCTAGCCTGTAAAATGCCAAGAACAACTCCAGCTACTGCAGCCAAGAGAGCACAGCCTCATCCAGCACAAAGGAGCCTTTCTCCTTGGTGTGTTGAGTAGAAAGAAGGCTGCTTTTTTGTTGCTAATAAGGCCTGAAGCCAGTGGTGCTTTTGTCTATTGGGAGGGTTCCTTGGTACAAACCGAGCATAGACCCCTGGCATTCAGGAACTCCTCAGCCAACACCCTACACACTACAGTGGAGGCAGGCAGGAGTCACTCTACAGGATTTCTCAAGCTCTACATCTCTGACATTCCAGACAGAATAATTATTGGTTGTGTGTGTATAATGGTTTCCTGTACATTGTAGGATGATTAACAGCATCCCTGGCCTCTACCCATTAGATGCCAGTAGCATGTTCTCAGTTGCAACAACCAAAAAAATATCTCCAGATGTTACCAACTGTCAACTGGGGGCAAAATATCAACCCCAGTTGAGAACCACTGCTCTAGACACTACATTAAGTGAGGCAGAGGACTATCAAAGGTGCCACTACACTCCAATGAGGCTAGACTCTGGACCACCCCAATACTGCTAAGCTGTAGAGAAGAAAGGATAAAGGATAAACCTCAAGATGGTTTTTTGAGCTCTATACTATGGTCTTGTTACAGAGGCAGACGATGTACCTAACCATTTTAAGGTTTGCCAGCATGGTGTCTACTACCCAGCGTCACTAAGGTTGAACAAAGTAAGCCAGAAGAAGCAGTTGCACCCTCCTCTGATAGCAATCCTGTGCCCCAGCCGGAAGATGTCATTCAACAGTCAACTATCGGCCCTTTTCCCTAAGTTCAAGGACCTAAAAGTTAAAAGTCATGTTCTGCTTTCTCATTCC